GTTAAGCACAGCTGGAACGTAATCCCATCTCCGTTGTGATGAGCCCCCTCAACCCCATAACTTAATAGCAGGGAGGGTGATCCTATACTCTCTTCAAAGGGCCAATACTGGCTAAGTGGTGATGTCTAGGGTTCAGGGTTATGGGTTTAGATATCTTAAGGTTAACTCTAAACATTGACCCCAGCCCTTCAATCCCCAAACCCCTGTACTAAATAGAATATGGCTAAGGGTATTTCATAACAAGACCCCCATATACCCCATGTTCTGTCTACCTAAGGGGGACTATATACCCTAAACCCTAAACCCTAAACCCCAAATCCTAAACCCTAAACCCTAAATCCTAAACTTTATATTCTATTTACTTGAGGGGGACTATGGACCCTGAATTCTGTAACAACTTGATTTTTGGATGCGGCCTGAAAGTGCTCAGAATGGCCCTTCCACTACCGTAAGGTTTAGGGTTTAGGGCTTAGGGTTTAGTCATCAGTTTCCCACTGGCTAGCCTCCATGTTCCATATTCTACTTCCGGCACAGGACGGATTGCATCATCATCTGGGTACCCCAGTAGTACCTTTTTTTCCTTTTTATTTGGGACCTCCGAATTAAAACCGAAAATGAGGAGAAGGGTTCCCTTATTATTTAGGGGTTGCAGCGGAACCAGCCTGTAGCAGCTCCCAGTCTCAATGCTCTTCCTCTGTTGCTAGTCTTGTTGCTTCGGTCTACAACCTGTCTCAGCTTCGGAAACTGCAAGCAAGAGGAAATTATCTTGCTTCTAGGTCGTCATAGAACTTTAGCCAAAAGGCTGCGACTGGGACCTGCAACTCCTAGGCCTACTAAGCTCTACTAAGCTCTGATGTCGATTCTTCAACCCAAAGCCCGAGGCCCAAAACCCCCAAGCCTAAAAAACCAAACCGAAAATGCTAGTTGAGTAGTATTCTATTTGGGGATACTATGGTACCTAATATAGAGTAAGATTATATCCTCCTTTGGGTTATAGTATTTTATGTCAGGGATATTCTCTTACTAGGTTCAACTACCAAAAACACACTACTCAGTTGGCCCTTCGCACCACACCAAACCTCCCAAGTCCTAAGCCCAAAGCCCTAAGCCCTAAGTCCTAGACCCTGAGCCGTAACCCTAAGCCCTGAACCTTACTAAAGCCTACGCCATAAAACCTCAAAACCTAAACCCTAAACCAGGCATCCCCTTAGATTTTATAGGGGTGTGAACTCCTTACTAAACTGTGTTGACGCGCAGGTTGGTGACTCGTTTCGAGCGCCTGAGCCGTCGAATCGCGCTGGCGGGCCTCATGTCGAACCACAAGGACCTAGGGTTAGCAGTATATTTATATGTATATATATTCATATATAGATAGGGTTTAGCGTATAGGGTTTAGGGTTTATAGTCTAAACTCCTTAAAGTTGGCTATATAAGGGGTTATATAGGGAGTCTTATAGGGGATATTAAGGGGAGACTAGGAATATAGATTATCTCTCATATGAGCTCGGTTTTTAGGTATAGTCTTCGGGGAGTGTATGTAGAGCTCGTTGGGAATATTGGTGAGTGTATGTATTTGGTGCCCATTGTGTCAATTTGGGCGAGCATGAAGTAAGATAATACCGCGTTTGGGGTTTTGAGTTTGGGATCTGCAGCTTAGGGTTAGGGGCTTAGGGTTTCAGAGTTTGGGTTGAGGGTGAGCCTCTAGAGATTCTATGGGAATGTGTAGGCTTATGGACCAGATGCAGTCGCATATTAAGGTCTTGCGAATATTTAGGGTTAGTCAGCGGAGACAATAAGAGCACTTCGGGCGCGTTCCAAAATAGAAACTCGTGGACTCATTTTTTACCCCTAGTATATACAAAGCCTCCCCACCACCCTATGAGTAAATATTCCCACTATAGTATAATAGACCACATATACTCCCCTATATAGCCCCCTTTAAGGACTTTAGACTATAGCTTATATGAGGTTCAGGCTGGACTCCTCCAGTTGAGGGAAGCCGGTTTCTCAAGCGTGGCTTTCAAGAAGGATCCCTACACTTTGGGTCTAGGGTTTGGGGTCTAGGGTCCAGGGTTTAGGGTTGTTCCGTTGTCCTGACCACTAGACCCTCACTCCCAAGGCAGCTTGTTTTAGAAGATTTCTCAGGGAACCCGTTCAGCTGGCAACCCCCTTATACTGTAACTCTACACGAAGGTAGTAGTCATGAGGACACTTTATACGCTGAGGCATCAAGGTTTGGTGGTACCGGTTTCTGGTCTTCTGGACATCATAACAGCTTCCTCAACCGTTACCGGCAGAAGACATCAATCATACGCCCGTCATTTCTTCAGGATAGCTTCCTCAGACATGAGCCATAATCTAAACTCCTTAAAGGGGGTTATCTAGGGTATAGGGGACTACTCTAGGGCTTAGTGAGGGGGATGCTAGGAGTTAGGACTATACCTCACATGAGCTTGTTGCAAGTGGCCACCCTTCGTGTAACAACCCTCCGCACCTTGAAGCAAGATGGGCTCACTGAACCCTGCTAGGTCTGCTAAACCCTAACTAAGCCCTCAGTCTCAAATTGGGTGTCCGAAACCCTAAACCCTAAACCCTAAACCATAATAAGCTTGAGTTTGACCATCGCGGCCGTCTAGGGATGATACCGAGAGCATCTGTGAGGCTCTTCTTTGTTCGGCGCCGGGCCCCACAAAGGGAAGATCCTCTACGAACGCTTGGGTTCCCTTAGAATCCGCTTAGAAGGACCTGTTTGGGGCCCCCAGGAATCTGCCGCATGGGCGCGGGAAGGTTTGAACGTCGAAAAGGTTTTGAGCGAAAGGCTGATGGCCCTAACTAACCCCAACCCTATAGACCTGAGACATTAGCCGTAAACCCCAAGCAGCTTTCTTCTTTTGCGCAAGGCCGTCGAAGCCATTGCTCAAGGCTGGCAGACTTGTTTGTGTGCCATGAGAGACAAACCTCCGTTAGGATCAGAGGGGTGCTGTTAGACTGCAACTTCATCGGGATATACATGGACGACTTGCTGTGGCGGCTTCAAATCTGGGTAGTGGATTTGGATCAAGCTGTGCACCAGCACTGGCTGGTGTCCTCCATCAACCTCTTCCCAGACCCCCTAAGGATCCAAAAAATGGAACCCACAATATGAACCCATTACTACATTGTGGAAACTAGGGGATGACTACGGGGCTGCATTTTTTGGATCCTTTAGGGAGTCTGGGTTAGAGCTATCCTGGCAGCTTGAATTTAGGCTCAAGGCTTCCTCAGGAGTATGCAAAGCGTCCGATACTGTCAGTCCAAACCTTCATGAATCGGGCTCTCGAAGCCGAATTTGTAAGTTCAAGCCTTCAGGGCCTTGCTTACATGTGTTTAATAAGGGAAGATGGAATTAAGATATAGGGGCTAGTATGAAGCCCTTAACCCTAAACCAAAAGCCCTCAACCCTAAAGTGCTCAGGGTTCTTCAAGAGAGCACGAAAGAGTGGAGACAGGTGGCCTCATCGCTTTCAGCAAAGTGTGAAGGTAGAATAGATGCTCATGTAGAAGCGTGGATAATTCCTGGCTACTCTCGTTACCTGTCCTAGTGTCTTTGCGCGTTTGCGCCAGTCACAGTGATGTGCTGACAAGGAAGAGAAGGGCCGAGAGAAAGGCCCCAGTAGCGAGAATGTAGCAAGATCTTGCCAAAACCAGCTCCAGCTACCAGAAAGAAAGAAGCCTCAAGCTGCCAGCCACCGACCCTTCACCCTGACCTCCCCCATATGCCCCCTCCATACGGTCGACTTCAGCAAAACGACGGCCCTTACAGCCTCAACAGCTAAACCTGTTTTATGGAGGCCGCGTGACGGTGGATGGTAAGGTGGCCTCTTCGAACTTCAAAGCCACCATGCTCGACATGGGTAGGGCTTAGGGTTGTAGGCGCTGTCCAAAGTGGATATAGTCTAGGTGGACCCCCCACCCAGCAATAGTGATTATCCTCTTATACTCCTACTATACCACTGTTAAAGGGTGACGGGTCCTCTAAGAGATAGTAGGTGCGTGTCCCTATTCTTGGGTTGTGATATTAGTTTTAGTTCCCTTCCATTCGGGGCAACGGTAATTCATGCACATGTGCATTTCTTGCAGTTACAGTAGGTTCCACAAGAAATCCGCTCAAAACCTCTACTTCGAAGTTTGAGGTTCCCCAAAAGTGGGTCACGAGTCTGGGCATTCAAGGGGTCATTGTTGGATATACTTCTCTTACTGAAGCCCAGCAAGGAGTATACAATTTTGCCTTGCGCCCTACACCCGAAAGGCCCTAAACCTAAACCCAAATCAGGAACCAGTACAGGGTCCAGGCCTTCGGGCTTGGGGTCTATAGTCTGTTAGGGTTAGTAGGGAATAGAGGAAAAGATTATATAGGGATCATATAGGGATAATGGACAAGAAATCTGAAACTACTATTTAGGGCTTAGTGTTTAAGGGTGGATGCAGGATTTGGTTGCTCGAGGTTCAGGGTTTAGAGCGCGCAGCTTGAGTTTTGAAGACAGAATCTGGGACCTGAATTTGGTCACTGAGTATAGCCTTGATGTTTGAGGGTTGAGGGTATGTTTCCGTGAGGCGCATGAAAACATGTTCCAATCGAACAATATTTTAACCTCCGGTCTGTTACAAGTACTTTTATAGAGCACAGATATCTTGTAATATGCTTACCTAGAGTCTAGAGTTTCCTTACTTTCATGTAAGTTTGGTCATTCCCCCACCCAGTAACTGTCCTTAAAGGGGGCCTTATTCAGGGGCTATTATAATTCCTATTACCCTTTGTGGTAACAGTTACTGTAAGGGGGAATAACCCATTTCCAACGTGTACAGTACGTGTTCTAGACCCTAAACCCTAAACCCTGAACCCTAAACCCTAAACCCTGAACCCCAAGCCCCGAACCCTAAACCTAAACCCTAAACCCTAGAGTCTAGAGTTTCCTTACTTTCATGTAAGTGTTTAGTCGCGTCAGCTGGCCGAGAACTGAGGTGTTCGAGCAAGCCATGGTTGCATTGGCCGCTGGGTGACGGATTCGGGTTCAGGGCTTGTTTGGTGCCCAGAACCTTAAAACCCAGACGCTAAGACCTTTGGCCGTAACCTGTAATATGACTTGGAAGCGGCAACTCCGCTCTAACAACTGCCAAAGTATTTGAAATTGGGTTTTCGAGGCCTCGGGCTTCACATGCTTTAGATCCCAAGCCTAAATTCTAAACCCTGAATCCTAGATCCTAAGGCCATAAACTCTAAACCCCAAACCTTAGATCTTAAACCCTGAGGTTTACTGTCGACCCTAACCCCAAAACCTTGATCCCCTCCAAGGATGGGGCGGAGGTGCCTCCTCCAGCAGCCGAGCCGAAGCTCTGGGCCCTCTTTAAGCCAAGGCAGAGGGGGGAACGGGGGGGAGGGGGGAAGAGGGGGTGGGGAAGTTTAGGGCTTGGGGTTTTGGGGTTTGCCTCTTTTTTTTTTGCGGGGTTTTGGGGTTTTGGTGTTGAGGGTTTAGGGTTTAGGGGTTTAGGGGTTTCGAGTTTGGGGCTTACCCCTCCAGGGTTTGTACTGCTGATTCGCAGGACATGAAGGAATGGACAAGAAAATTGTAACTACTATGTATAGTCATGGAGGTTATATAAGGACTGCTACAATGATCCACTCCTCCATTCGTTGCTAATTAGAAGTAAGGAAAGGGGAGGTGAGGACGTTCAGATTAAACCCTAAGCCCGATTTAGGGCTTAGGGTTAGGGGGTACGAGATGGAGTTCTAAGGAGAATTTGTTCGAGATAAAGGGTTTGCAAGGGTGTGCAAGAAAAGTGGAAGCCTTTTTCCGTGCTCCTCTCGTTTCTTTCTGTGCAGTCCCCTTTTTTCGAAGATTTCTCTTTTATTTTCTGGTGCGCGATGCGAAGGATTAAGGCTTGGGATTTCGTATTTTGGGTTTTCGAATTTCCGAAAGCCACCGCATGCTTCAACAGGCCATTGCACAGGCACTACCGAGGGTGAGGCCCCCAACGCGTCATTGTTATCCCGCAGCCTTCAGATATTTTCTCCATGGCAAATCTTGATGTTTCTGATGTTGGCCCCTTGACTTTGGGACACTTCATGCTCGACCCTCCCTGAACCCTAGACACCAAGTGGCTTTTTTCTGCTTTGATTGCAGAAGCCTGTGGTAGGCTGAGGTTGCCAGAGGATGTCCAATGGGTTGCTTGTGTTACCTTCCCTAGGCTGCACTTTACTACAAGTTTAGTACTTCATCTTTTTTGGGGGGCAGCTCTATTTCATCTGAAGAGAGCTAAACGCGTACAGCAACCATTTTTATTGGCTTTTGCAGAGCCACCAAGTTCCATGAACATCAGGTAATTCCCATAAGTTCCGCAGAGGACAATCTCCCTAAACCCTAAACCTTAAACTGTGTGCAAGCCCACCTGTGGCAGATGTTTCTGTGGTAGTTAGGTACTACCTTCAAGGCCTTGCAGGACGCTGTAGCTGCATCTAGAGGTTACCTCTATATCACGGTCCCCATAGTAAGGATTATAGTAAATTGGGGTCTGTATTGGGGTTCCTAAGCCCTACACCCTAAATTTTAAACCCTAAACCAAGATTCCCATCCAGTGCTAAAAGACACATCCTCCCAAGCCCAGGAAGGTCCTCTGTGAGGCAATACAGGAGAAAAGCACCCTGGCTGATGAGAATACCCTGAACGCTCAGCCTTAAACCCTAAGCCCTGAACCCGAAGCCCTAAGCCCTGAACCTTAAATCCTAAACCCTAAGCCCTAAACCCTAAGCCCCAAGCCCTAAACCCTAAACCCCTATTTCTTGGCAGGGTTCCAGGGCTGATGTAAAGGAAGTTCGGAATTATTCTGAATACAGGTTTTCAAGCGCCGGCATCTACCAAACTTGGCAGGAAGCTACTTTCTGCATTTTTCGGGACATTGGGGGGGACCCGAGATTGGGTTTAGGGCTCAGGGCTCTAGGGTTCTAGCAGCAGGAGTTTGGATGTAAGATTTGAAGCCTGCCGTGGGGACCTGAGGTTGCTTCTTAGTTTCATGCGCCCGCTAACCACCCCGTTGTACCACTATTAGGGTTATACAGTGATTATAGGGTACATGTTGGGATTTTCTTGGTTTCATGGAACAGAAAGTGGAAACTATTATATAACACCCAGAAAGTTTCCGCTTGATCAACTTGAACATGAGTCTCCAGCACGCCTATTCAAGTGTGTGTGGGGGGAGGGAATGGTTCTGGAACCCAAAATTGTTGGAGTGGGTCTGCCTTGTGCGGTTTGGCAGAAGGGTAGGAAGGCTTCCAGGCGGTTTCATCCAAGAGCAGTCATCAAGATTGTGGGCCTTTTTCAGGCTATTGTCACGAAACCATTCTTATGCTTAGTTTCCCGGGTAGGCCCCTGGAATATTCAATATTTTCCTTAATGGCTTTAATAGGGGACCATATATACCCACATTTTTCAAATAACCCTTAAAGCCTAACCCCTAAATAGTAGTTTCCATTTTCTTTTCCATTATCCCTATATAACCCCTATATAACCCCCTAACCCCTAAACCCTAAACCCTGAACCCTAAACCCTAAACCCCGCGTCATTTTTTCAGGCCGACTTAGCTTCAAAAACCTAAACTGTATCTGATGTTTATGGCCGCGGCACGTTCTGGATGCATCGGTGCTTCACTCATAGCTGTTGAATAACCACATGATATGAAGGTATGAAACCCTAAACCCTCAACCCCTGCTACAGGTTGTTCCTGGGCAGGGTAAGTAGCCTGGCCGGAAAGCTAGAGGCAACTTCCAGGCCTTAAGCCGTAAACCCCTTCGCCCCAAATCCTAAAACTTTTAAAAAGACCTCAGACCTCATAGCCCCAAACCCTAGAATCTCGAAAGCCTGACGCCCCGTAACCGTAAACCGTAGGACCTCAAAATCCTCTGAAACTTAAAAGCCTGCAACCTCTAAAGCCTCAACCCCCTTTACCCCAAGCCCTGGCTCTGTAGTAAATAAACCCGGACTATGACGACAATGCATAAGGGCTTAGGGTTTAGGGGTTTAGTGTTTAGGGCTTAGGAGTTGAAGGGTCAGGTTTAGGGTTTAGGGTTTAGCGCTTGGCAGCCAGGCGACGGCACCGAAACTCTACGGAGACGTATGCGGCGCTGGTATGAAAAGGACAGTGGTTTTAGTTTAGGGGGTTTAGGGGCTTTAGGGTTTAGGGTTTTGGTTTTGGGGGTTTGGGGGCTTCAGGGTGTTGGGGGTTTTAGCGTTTGGGGGTTTGGGGGGTCTGGTTTATGCTCAGTGCCCTGACCCCAGCCGACATGAATCGATTCGACGTCTAAGCCACGTAAGACCTACGAGGAGATGGTGCAGATCGGGAAGACAGTTGGCGTTGGATTGGAGGCAGCTTGGCCTACCCTCTTCGGAAACGTTAAAGAACTTAGTTTAAGTGACTATATTGGGGCAACCATATTATTCACTCTATATATACATATATGTATATACGCTCATTCTGATAACTTAAATTAAGTTCCTTAACAGCAATTCAGTATAGAATTGCTGGGTTCAATTTTTTCAAGGTTTTGGGAAGCAAGGCATGGAATGGAGTGCAGGACTTGAAGCTTAAGATCTTATGAATGAAGGCATACTTTTCGAGGTTAGGGTTCAGGGTCCTACTATGATACTGTAGGTGCTGCGGATGGAGTATGTCCAGTCATTTCTCGCTGAGCGCATAATTCGAGTTTGTGTCGGTCAAGCATTGCCGCATGCGGGCTGTGGGAGGGGTAATAGTTTGGCACCCGCAGACAATACCCCTAAACCCTAAACCCCGAAACCCTAAATCTGGGTCAAGAAGTGTCTGGAGCTGCTTCGCAATCCTTGATTGCGTCGTGTTTGCCTTCCACTTTTGCCGGCTCGTGAGGGCAGTAAAAGTGTTTCTAGAAGCATTTCCTTTCGAATCCGCAGTACGAACCCCATAATCCTTATGTAATGCTTGCATGGACATAACTATACATACGTACTCCAAACTTGTTTGGATACCTTTTTATTTAGAATTTCCCACATGTGCTACAGGCTACTAGGCGCCGACTCCCTGCCGCCTCCCCATTCTGGACCCAAGCGAACGCTGTTTAGGGTTTAGGGGTTTAATATAGGGCTAATATGGGGCTAATATAGAGTAATTCTAGGGAATATAGGGTAATGTAGGGTTACTATAAGATCATATAGGGGTTTAGGGGTTTAGGGTTTAGGGTTTAGGTGGACCCCCCACCCAGTAATCGTCTATCTAGTGGATAATTTGGGTACTGCTCCCCCTCAGTAACAGTTGGATAATAACAATATGGTTATATAAAGCCCTTAATAGGACCCCTAATATAGACTGTTACTGGGGGGGGGCAGTACCCAAGGTTTAGAGCACAAGCCCCTAAAGTTATCAGTAGGGAATTCAGGAATGCAAAACGGAATGGCTACTACCTTTTTTTGGGGGGTTTAGGCTTTAGGGACACACTTCCTGTGTCTTTGGGTTTTGGGTACAGGAGGGCTAGTAGTGAATGAAGGAACGGGGGGGCATAGGGCCAGTACAATGGACGATATAGGGACTACTATGAGGATCCACTCGTCCAACCTCTATTAACCCCACCTGTAAACCGCTGGCATCTTGCTCTGTAGACAATCTGAACGCTCCGCCCTCTAGACTGCAGACACCTAGGGCATAGGGTTAAGGGTTTCCATAATCCGAAACCCTCAACCCTAAACCCTAAACCTCAGATCCTAAAAGCTTGTGCCTGGCCAAGGAAGAGAGCCTGAAGGACAAGCATTGGGTCATCGTCCGAGCCCAAGATTCTGTGCCCTGAGGTTGGTAGTTTAGGGTTCGGGATATACGGAATAGGGTCTAGGGTTTGGGGCTTCGGGTTTCAGGGTTATCCAGGTTTTTCTTCAGACGGGCAAACACCCTGGCCGCAAAAGCTTTAAATCTGTACTCGTTGAGGCCCAAATCTTTAGCCAAAAGACTTTTACTTAGACTTAGATGCATGAAAGGGGTCAGGTACAGAGGCTAAGGCAGGGTAGGTTGAAGGATGATGTTAATCTTTGTTTGCCCCAACTATTCCGCAAGAGGCCATAACAAGTTTTTTTTTTAGCGCACGCCCAAAGCTACCCTAGCTGAGGGTCAGCGGCCCCCAGGTACAGGGCTAAGCGCTGAGGAGCTCATGAGGGGGCTTTGCTACCCCAACCTACAGCAATCTATCATGCGACTCTTCTAAGGGTCCTTATAGACTATGATTCTCATTTGACTAGTTACAGTGTCCTTGTTGTAAGGGATTTGGGTGACCAAATTGGCTTATTTACCTTCGGAGGACCCCCCACCCTGTAATAGTGGTGTAATAGGAATATAAGAGGGCCCTAATATAGTCCTTATATTATCCTGTTTCGCCACTAGTACAGGGTGGGGGGGGGGGTCCACCTAATTTCTACCTTTCAAATCGTTGGCAACCTAAGGTCACCGGCCTCTCTTGGGCATCTGATGGCCTCGTGCTGTTGCACCTCGGCGCATGTGTAGTGCCCCCTAAGTAAACAGAATGTGGGGTATATGGGGATCTTGTTATGATATTGGTCAAGTCCCTATTCTATCCACTTCAGGGGGGCTATACCTTCTCCCCAAGACGCAGCAAAACCCTAGAATCTCTTCCCCAAACGGACAATGAAGCCCATAGAGTCCCTTTGAAAAGGACAGAAAGGGACGGCAGTCTTTACGGTGCCCCCCTTTGCAGCTTCCACTTTCGTTTGGGGGGTGGTATTCCGCTGCCCATGAGCCACTTGAAGGGCCTTACCACATGTTGCAGGATGGCTGTGCTTTCGTGAAGGGTTTTATTGGCAGGGATTTAGGATGCGCCGGGTTTTGAAAATATTCTGCTAGCTACACCGTCTTGCTCTACAGTTATACCCGAAGCTTGAAGGCCTGTTGTGGGCTGATGAGACGTGGCAACAGATGATTCAGGCATTGGGGTTTCGTGTCCGGCATGCGACTCTGGAGATTCAAAAAGAACCCAGCGCCAAAGATGACTTCCATTGGTGAGGCCATGAGCATTTTGGAGCATTTTCTTCGAAAACCCACCGGGTTTACGAATGTCTTGAGCCCCAATTCTGATTTACATTTTGTAAGTATGCCGGCTGCAGGAGTTAGGGACTTGGAAAACTGAATTCCGCAGTGCCACGGCACCAGGAGCAGAAAGACGAGTCCTCACCTGTCACCTCAAGGGTACTTGGAGGGTCATGGGGACTTCGTAAGTAGGTTAATAATGTGGATAATTGGGGTTACTATATGGGTTATAGGGGTCATGAACCTACTTACTAAGTCCCCCTGACCCTCCAAGTAATCCCTGCCCCGAATAATGAGGCCCGCACCCCCTGACACCCTAACAGAACGAGCAAGGAAGCTCTATTGGGGCCCTGTAAACATGACGGTCCTTCAAAGGGGCTTATGTGGTTGACACTGCAGTATGGGGAGGGTAATTAGCGAGCAAGTAGTTTTCCATCGCTTATGAGTGCCATATGCAGAAGAAAGGGGTGGTTCAGTATTAGGGGAGCCCTAAACCCTAAGCCCTAAACCCGAGTGGAGCGCAGTAGATTGAGACCCAGGCTGTCGGTACAGACTGGGCCCACATCGGCCGCACACATTCGCTAGAAGTAGGCACTAGTGGAGGAAAGGATCTCTACAGTAGCCCTATATGTACCATAATCTAAACTCCTTAAAAGGGGGTTATATAGGGATTACACGGGGAATTATTATAGCTGTTATTAAGGGGGATACTAGGAGTTTAGGCAGTAGCCCAAAAAATCCATTCCTTAATTAAGTCCTAAACCCAAAACCCTATAGTACCCCCAGATGGGTTGTTCTCAAAATTATGGACCCCTTTTGGTTATAGATTATACAGCACCTCACATGTAGGGATAGCAAAATGGGACCGTACCTTTAAGAACTACCCATGTGGGGACATTGCATAAAGCCTGATACACCCCTTGTATAACTCCCCATCGTCCCCATACAACCTTTATATACCCATTATATAAACTCCCCACAGTGGAAGCTACCCTCCTGTAGTTGGTCTTAATTCGCCAAAACCCAAAACCCTAAAGCGCGTTAGGTTTAGGGGTTTAGGGGTTCAGAGTTTAGGGTTTAGCGTTACATTCGCTTCTAATCGAACTCTACGTTGAGGACCAATGATGGCATCTTCGCACAGACGCTGGCTAGCTGGGGCCTGAATTTTTGGGGGCACACCAACCCACCCAGTGGGTTTAGGATGTAGGGTTTAGGCTTTAGGTTTTAGGATTTAGGACTTCGGGTTTAGGTTTTAGGACTTAGAGTGTAGGGTGTAGGGCTTAGGGTTCAGGATCTACCACCAGGGGATACAGCCTGAACCTCAAACTTTGAAGGTCGTAGCTTCCATTTTACTTTCCACTCCCCGCTAGGTCCTCCTAACCCCAGATACGAAAGCTTACGCCCTAGATCCAGCCCTTAAACGTTAAGTCCTGAATCACGAATAGTAGCCCATATGTACTTCCCAAAGATGCAGTAATTGCGATGTTCTTGTCCTTCCTTACAAGCCTCCCGCAAGCAAGTTAACGAAATTCGGTTCAATGCCTTCAAGAGAAAATGGTAGGGAATGTAGATGCCAAAGTAATTACCGATGTTATGGGTCTGAACCCTATGCCCCAAATCCCGCACCCCAAACCCAAAGCCCGAAACCCTAAACCCTAAGCCCTAAACCCTAAGCCCTAATCCCTAAGCCCTAATCCCTAAACCCTAAACCCTAATCCCTAAGAAATAACCTAGGGTATGGCTTGCGGCTTAGGCATTTTTACCCTACACCCTTATTGCTAATCCTGGTTCAAACCTTACGGGTTTTTTCGCCAGCTGCAATGAAGCCGCGCAGTACAGTAGAACACTGATATGGGGGTTTCCCAAAATTGGGGAAATCAATTTTGGGGTCCCCATAGTAAGGACTGTAGTATGTTGGGGTCTATATTCGTGTCACCTTGTGTAAGAAATAACCCATATGCAGGAGACCACCGCCAAGGTCTACGTTATATGATCTACTCACCCACCAAAATTGGACTAGTAGGAATACATGGAAACCCAAATGTCGTAACTACTGTCCGTTGTGCTCACGATTAGTAGGTGGAGGGTTCACCTAAGATCTGCTGCACGAAGCGTCCTGAGAGGTTTCAGGCTCCAGCGAATTAGAACTGAGGGAGTATCCTTGGCACAGGGTTTGTGATCTTTGAGGGTTTTAGGCGTCAGGGTTGGGCTTTAGGGTTTAGGCTTGAAGGAAGGACTCTACATTGAAAGGTTGCCCCCATGGGTTGAGGCTGAGGGCAGGATTTACGGGAGTCTTCCATACGGAACCTGTCGGGGATAGACTTCTCAATGTAACAAACCTTCAACTTCGTGCCCTAAAGACCCTAAACGCCGAACACCTTTCGAAGGAGATATTATAATAGGGACCCAAAAAGGGACCATAATTTTGACAATCCCCCGTTTGAACCATTTAGGGGTTTGCAAGTTACGGTCACACATGAACGGCCCAAGACTTGGATAGACCCACAAACCTTGAGACCCATATTATCCTTCTGAAGCCAGGTTTGGGGTTTAAGGGTTTAGGCTTTAGGCTTTAGGGTTTAGGGTTTGTGCTGCATGATTCTCAAGCATTGTTCTTTCACGTGTCCCAAAAGCATCCATCATGTCAAATATTTTACAAAAGGACTTCATATCCAGGGACATTTGACATCAGGGGTGTTCATTTGGGGAATTGGTTAAAAGTTGGAGAGATCAAGAGCCTTTTAACACTAAGCCCTTAATCCTACACCCTAAGAGATATTATAAGCCGTACTAATCCTTCAAAAAAGGGAAAGGTTGCTTTGACACCCATATGAGGCGCCGAGAGCAACATACTGTCTGCGTTCGATGTCAAAATTCAAGGCGTGAGCCCTGAAGCTGAGAGAGGTCCAGGATTTCGGGGTTCGGGGTTTAGGGTTAGGTTCAGGATTTACGGCTCAGGGTCTAGCTTCAGGGTTTAGGGTTTGGGGTGTAGAGTTTAGGGTGTAGGGTGTGGGGTTTATGGTGTAGGGTGTAGGGGTTTAGGGCGTAGGGTTTAGAGGTTCAGGGGTTTTGGGTTTTGGGGTTAAGGGTTTAGGTTCAGGGTTTGGGCTTTAGGGCCCCGCTCTCGGGGATACAGGGGATTATTACCACAATACTGGAGAATCAATCGGACAGGAAGATTCAACCCTAAACCCTAAACCCTAAGATGGCAAATGAAGCGCGAGCTGGGTTTGTACAGTCATGATAGGGATCATTGCCAAGACTATGGTCCTAGACTCCCAGACCCCCTAAAGGATCCAAAAAATGGAACCCCCTCGTAATCCTCTAGTTTCCCCAATGTAGCAATGGGTTCATATTGGGCGGGTTCCATTTTTTGGATCCTTTAGGGGGTCTGGGCTACCATTTCAGAAGACCTACCAGGTATGACCAGGCTATAATCCATGTCCCCGTGCAGTTGCCATTGCGGATCTTGCTGGCCTTTCGGAATTTGCCTTTTTAGGCTTGGGGTTTTGGATTTGGGGGCTTAAGGTTTAGCGTTGGGGGCTCACGTGGTTGTCCGCGTCTGTGTGAGCCCAAAGAGGAGGTGGGTTTTAGGGTTTTCGGGTCTAGGGCGGACATGGTTGGGTTCAGCCTTTCGGCGGCTTGTTTTGCTTCAGCGGGGCCTGAAACTCCTCCAAGCTAATCTGGAACACCATAATGCTCGCTTCCTAAGGATAGTCTTCTTCATTGGGTCTGTTTGCTGGAAGTTCCCATTCAAATTGCTGGTAAGAACCAGCAAGGGCGATATAGGAAGATAGCCGGAATTGATGTATAGAAACGGCTACCTGGACCGTGTGTGTCCGGTTTGGAGGTTCATGCGTGGGTTTGAGTTGTGCGTGCAACTATCCCGAGTACAGCCCTACTTTATGACAAGCCCTTGAACCTCTAAGTACCAAGCCTGCAAGGAAGAGTTCTTTTCCTGGTCAATGTAAAGCACCTCACCCTAAATCGTGGTCTATATAGAGAATAGTACCAAAATGGCCTTAAATTTGGACCTGAAATTATTCTAAATTACTTTGTTTTCTGAATCAGAACTAGATCAACGCTGCCCAAGCACTTTTTTTTTTTTGCCTGGAACTGCTAACTATCGGTTCTATCCTGTCAAGGGTTGCTTGTTGGAGCGAAGATTTCAAGAGCCAGACCGTGCTGCAAGCAGATCAAGCCCTGTCCCCTACTGATGAACCCTCCCACCCCCCTAACATTGAATATCGTCCTTTGCAATATAGTTGTATATATATATGTATATATTAATCTATATATATATATTGAGACATATAATTTGGTACAAAATTGGGGGCATTCATTATCAGGGGGCGTGGGGGCTTGGTACAGGGGGAGGGAATTTCCTTTTTATCCTGCTTTTGGAGCAAGACAGTCCTGCCCTGACCCTTAGCAGCTGAATAGGTGACCCTCCCGTCGACCTTCTGCACAAGTGGCGGACTGGAGCAAAAGCCGGGGGTGTCAAGTACGGCCGCGTTGCTGGGCCTTGAGAGTCAAAGTAATGTAGAAATTAGGTGGACCCCCCACTCTGCAATAGTGGTATAATAGGAATAAGAGGACCCTGATACTACTACGACTGTCCCTTGTAGTCACTATGAATGGGTGGGGGATCCATCTAGTGCTGAAGCCTGAAGAGCTACCAATGATATTCTCTCACAACCCCTGCCCCAATCCCTGTTCTGATCATTTCTTTCCATGGAGTCTGAAAGCATTCATGCCCAAACAAGAATCATATTCATGCCCGAGAGCATACGCTAGCAAGAGCATCCACGCCCAAAGCATGATAGTGTCCATGCCCAAGAGAAGATTTCAGAGCATGCATGCCCAAACCGTAGCCATGTGCACCCATGAGGGCATTCAGCTCCCAGAGCCGTCACGCCCAAACACTGATACACGTTCATGCGCGACGGCATACCGGGTCCCAGAGCATCCATGCCCGAATCGTAAGAATGCTCATCCATGTTAGTATACGGTTCCCAAGCGTCTGTGCGCAAAGCAAAGCAGTTTGTCGCCCTACTAGTCCCCAAACGCTTCTTTCCAAAGACCCGTGCGTAGCTGGTGCTTGTTCATCCAACAACACACCATGAAATGTACCATGTTCTAGGCATGAAAATCGGCCGGTGGTGAGGACGAATACTGTTTGCGAAGTGCCTGATCACTTGAGGCTGCCGGCATTTTCATCGTTTGTTTTTTTTCTCGGTATGCCTCCTGAGACTCTGCTAATGGCTAAATCCGCTTTGGTTGCAAAGCGCAGTTCTTTTAGATTGCAATGTGTGAAAATTAGCGGTTTGCTGCCGCGAAATGGTATTTTCCGGGTGCCGCATCTCGCGTCACACGAGATTCTAGCACCACATCCGCTTAGAAATATGAAGATCATCGCCAGTCATTATGGATAAAGCACGCGCTAGCTGAACACCGGAAAAGGCTTTGTTTGCCGAAGTGCCTGATCCCCTGCGCGTGCAGCACACATTCCTCAGGCGCATACAACATGTTCGGGGGTGGGGGGGGGCGGTTGGGTTACGGGTTGGGTGGATGTGGCCTGCAGTGCAGGCCTACCAATCGGTCCACGCGATTTTGGGGTTCGCCGTGCGATCTGAAGATGCGCGATTTGGGCTTGCTGTGGCCCCATGTGTTAGAAGTCTTAGATTTACATGCAGTTTCCAGCACACCTTAGCCGCTGACCCAGATCCAGTTGACTTGACCCTTGCACTTTAAGACTCATTCACGTGAGCCCTAAACCCTAAACCTTAAATAGTGGTTTCCATGTTCTTTTCCATTCTCCCTATATAACTCGCTACATGCCCCATTAAAAGCCAGGCAGCTCTACAAATGGGTTTGCCAGCAGTTCTGCATAAAGACAAGATGGAGGGGAAGGAATTTGATGTAAATCATGGTCTAAACTCCTTAAAAGAGGGTCATACAGGGATAATGGAAAGCATAATGGAAACCCTAAACCCTAAACCCTAATCCCTAAACCCTAAACCCTAACCCCTAAACCCTAAACCCTAATCCCTAAACCCTAAACCGCGTATGGCTTAGGGTTTAAAACCTTGCGGTGCCTCAGCTACAGCAGGTCATGTGCTAGAGCTTTGCTGAAATGGTTTGAACTGATTTATGGCCAAGGGTTTAGGGATGTTTAGAGTTTAGGGTTCAGGGTTTAGGGTGAACTGATACCTGAAAATGAAAACGCAGTTGCATGCTAAATACCACCACCACCACCCTTCCCCCCAAAAGAAAATAGAACAATCCACTAGGAAGCCCAAACGCTGAAGCCCACACCACTTACCGGGACCTACCGATTTTTTCTGCCAAACATGCATGCACTTTCTATCTAGCACGCTGTGCTGAACTTGAGTTGAGCACGGAAAGGTAAAGGTTTGGGCTTGGGGATACTGTTTCCAATGGACTCCGTACATCCTTGACCTCAAGTCCCAGAGCCCTGGAGGGGATGAACACTGGAGATTGTTTCAGAAAGTTGGAACATCAGGAGTTGAACCATGCTCCAAGTGTTTGGACCTTTGCCGCACATCGCATAAGCGTCCCTTGTAGTCTTGTTTTTCACGTCATGGAGCCTAGGTGTGGTGCAGCATGACAAAGCGCACGGGCGCCACTTCGCGGTTGAGAGCGCCTGGGCTTTTGCAGGACTCTGTACCCTACATAATCATGTGAGCTATAGTTAGTATCCCCCTTACTAGGCCCATAGTAGGAACCTATATGATCGCTCCTATAACCCCCTTCAAGGAGTTTAGACTATGGCTCGTGTGGAAGTTGGAAGAAGTGCTGAAAGTATTCCCGGGAGTATGGTTATAGTATAAGGTACCCCTAAAGCTCCCAAAGCCTTATTCGAATTATGGCAGCCTTTACATTCAGTGCTCCGGATACTGTTCCAGGGTTTGGGGGAAGGACTGGGACTTGTGGCCTACGGTTGAGGTCCAACGAGTCAGGGTCTTAGTCCTAGACTTTGAAGACGAGGGGGGGGAGAAATGAGACCCGTCTGTTGTGACACCGCCGTATGTGTTGACCATAGAAAGGGTTCGAGACCCGTTGCTTGGAGGGTCAGGGGGCTTCGTAAGTACGTTAATAACCCCTATAACCCATATAGTATCCCTACTTATCCCCATTCTTAACCTAGATACTAAGTCCCCATGACCCTCCAAGTGATGCTTGCTGGAAAGTGGTGAAGGTCCGAGGCTTGACATTGGGAATAAGATATGGTAGTTTCCCAAAATAGGGGGCCCCATTATAGACCCCCAAATACTGTAGTCCTTATTATAGGGACCTCCAAAAATGTACCCAAAGTTTTGGGGAACCTTCATATTCACGGGCACGACCAAAGCCGCCACCACCGCCATCACGGAGGCCGCAAGTAGCATCCCAACTGAACCGGCAGAAAGAGGAGGAGGCGAAAGAGGAGGGAAGGATGCTACAAGCCGCTACAACCCATGAGCCACAAGCACTACTGTGATTCCTCGTTCATTTTGGTATTTTGCAGGTTTATGACAACACATCAGCAGGTCAAGTATGTGGAGTCCCCTGAGCGACCCATTGACATGTAGCTTGGCCAGCAGGAAGGTCTGGACGGTAGCTATGGTTCAGGGAATCCTGGTTTGCCGGTATCAGGGTTCGGGATTTGGTGGCTGGTTTTTTCGAGGTAATTATAGTAGAAACCTCAGCGGTATAAGGATCGGAAGGGGTATCCTCCCCCCAAGAGGAGGCGGAACTTCCCCAGAACCCGACGCGCCCGTGGTGCTGAAGTTTTGGTCGTGGCTCTGTTGGGGGAGACACGGTTTGGGCTGCATCATGTGAGCCATAGTCTACACTCCTAGTATCTCCCTTAATAACCCCTATAATTGTCCCCCATACAATCCCCTATATACGCCCCCTGAGAGGAGCTTAGACTATAGCTGATGTGGCGTTGAGGAGTTCGGAGTTGGGGTTTGAGGGGCGATGTTTGAATGACAGGGTTTGGGGTTTTGGAGAACCGGGGTCGGAGCAGACGTGAAACTCTGGAAGGCGGTAAGGGGCTTTGGTACCCCAATCCCCAACATAAGGGCCCAATGATCATCATGTGACTCTAACAATGTCCTTCTAACATGGGTTGGGCATGCTAAATTCTCTGAATAGGTCTGTCATCAGCACATGGCATAGATTTCCATTCATCCTTTCACGGCCTGCCAACCAGATTCTGGATGGCGGCTGGCGCCACTTTGAACCTGAGGTGCGCTCCAGATACATCCCGAACATCGGTACTTAACTTGCCGGTTGTTGCGCGCGCGAATTCCATAAAGCGTCCTTGTATTGTTTCTCCATGCCTCCTTAAAGAACCCTTTAGCCCTAAGCCCTAGAATTGTAACCATTACCTTGCCCACAAACCACCGAGTAATTTCAATTTCTCTTTTCCACTCCGCTAAATAAAGACCCCACCCCCCCCAAGGGATCCTTAATTCCTAGGAAGCCCAAAGCTGAAGCTCACAACCCCTTATTCGGAGGCTCATGGGGACTTGGCAAGTAGGTCAACAATGGGGATAGTTGCGGTTACTATTTGAGCTACAGTATAGGTCTTACTACCCTAAACCCTAAACCCTAAACCTACTTACTAAGTTCCCCTGACCCTCCAAGTATTTCCCGATGTTCTGGTGCGGGTGGTTCTTGACGTGCCTGTAAGGGTTTAGGGTTTGGGGGGTTTAGGGTTTAGGGGATAAGATCCAGTTGAAGGGAGCTCCTAATCAACAAGGGAACCGCTCGCATGTCCGTGTTGGGGAACAGGCATTTGAACAACCACCAGAAAATCTTTGAATAAAACCTGAAGCTCTGATGTCTCCATATACTCCTCAAGCCCAAATCCTATGAACCCTATGAGATCACTGACCCGTATAAACCCTATAAACCCTAAACACCCTAGACCCCAAATCCTAAACCCTAAACCTTAAACCCGAAGCCCTAAACCCAAAACCATAATCCCTAAACCTTAAGTACTGCTGAGCTGAGCGTTGGACTAAGGCTCCTAGACGCCCACGGCATGCGTGTGCAGACGATCCGCCGCTACGCCTTTGGACCGTGCCGCATTTAGGGCTCCAGAGTTGAGGGTTTAGGGCTTGACAGTTAGGGTTTAGGGTTTAGGATTTAGGGTTTAGGGTTTGACAGTCAGGGTTTAGGGTTTAGGGTTTGACAGTTAGGGTTTAGGGTTCAGGATTTAGGATTTAGGGTTTAGGGTTTGACAGTTAGGGTTTAGGAGTTTGGATTTAGGTCTGAGATCTAGGGTAAGGCAGTTGAGTAAGTATTCTCATACTTCCAGAGGGCCATATGATAACCCGAATGGTCCAGGATAGGGGTTTAAGAAAATTGTAAGCATCAACCATTTTTGGTATAAGCATCAAAAAGACACTTTTTAAGCATCAAAATAGCTTCTGACCTATTTCCTGGTCAGTACACCACTCCGAAATGTTTTTTGTTGATGCTTGAGCTTCGACCCTACTCCCTGGCGGGAGGAGAGCGGGAAGGAAGGAAGGCAGGAAGGAAGGAAGCTGCCATCCATGCTTGCGATTAAAACAAACATGTCATCACCATGTTTGCAATAGGGGAAGGTTGTGCTGATCATTGTTTTTGCAAATGCGCCCCTCCCAACCCCCCTGCCCGTTTTTGAAAAAACCATCCATGCTTACGGTAAAAAATATCATCGCCAATTTGGCTGTAGGGGAAGGTTGTGCGGATCATAAGAATGACCGAAACAACACTGGTCTTATTATGATTGTGCATTATCATTGCTATTTTTAAGACTATGATTTCTGCTATTCGTATAACTGTTTCTATTCCTATTTCCATTCCTTGTATTTCTTTCATGAATATGAATGAGGCTACTATTATTCGTATTAGTGGGATTACTATTGTTACTATTACTACCATACTTACTACTATTTCGAAAGTTTGTATTCTCACTATTGCTATTCACATTATTTTTACAGTTGTTTTGGTTTCTATTCGTGTTACTAGTGTTAGTTACTGCCATTATACTATTCTTTATTGCTATTGTTACGAGTATTACCATTATCATCAATACTACTATTATTGAACTACTATTACACCGTCACTGTTGATGCCTCTCCTGTTACTATTAATTCCCACCACCTGTACGACTACTACCACTAGTGCTACTGGTACTAGTGCTGCTACTACTTCTACTTCTATGCATACTACTACTACTACTAACTACTACTACTACTACTACTACTAGCCACTACTACGACGAAATTAACGCTTATTTGACGTTTGGTTTTTCTTTGCTTTGCGCGCGTTTTACGCTGGTTTCGTGCTCATTTCAGGATTTCTTGGGGGGGCGGCTGGCTTAGGATTGGGGTGTCCGCGTTCCTAATTTTTTTCCGTTTTATGGTGGTTTCGTGCTCATCTCACACTTTTTTAGGGGTGGCGGTGTTGCTGATTTTTGAGATCTACTGTTGTTAGACGTTGGCAAGCATACATGGCTTAGTATTGGGGTGTTCGTCTTCGTTGAAAATACGCGTTTTGTGGTGGTTTCGTGCTCATTTCACCTTTTTTTAGGTGGGCGGTTATGCTGTTTTTTCAGATCTACCGTTGCTCGGTTTTGGTATACATGGGTGCCGGGCCCCTTTTTTTTTCCTTAGGTGTGGCTGAGAGGCTCTGGTCGGCCGCTGTTGCGGCTCCTTTTTTGAAGGGAGACGGTCGGTCGGTCGGTCGGCTTACAATCTCTCATGATCATGTTTGCTCATCCTCTTTCACGGTTCTTCATCAGTTTTGGTCGTTTTCATTTTCTTCCCTCCTTTTCATCATCTTTCACATGTTGTTCGGGGTTTTCCATGTTTTTTCTACCATGGCAAAATTTCTCATACTTAATAATCATCTTCAGCATGCTTCGTAGTGTGGCATGGACTTCATCATGTTTCATCATTGTCATGGTGCACTGATCCTTGTTCATCAGAAATCATAATTTTCCATCTTCTTTTCCATCAGTATTCATCAATTTTCATCATGCTGTGAGCTTCAATCATGTTTCATGACGACTCATACTCTTCCATTAGTGTGCATCCATTTCTTGAGTCCTCATCCATTTCCAGCATGTTGCGTTGTGCAACACAGTTTTCCTCTTTGTTCATCCTTTCATTATTCTCTCGATTCGAAATCGTGATGCACCATTTTCATCTTTCTCATCGTTCTTCATGACTGTTCATCGTTTTTGTCATTTGTCATCCTTTTTCTTCATCTTGCACCACCAACGTTCATCATGTTATGTTTCTTCTAATCAGCAATCATAGTTCTTCATCAGGCTTTTTTTATATCACATTCGCATGTACTCATTATGTTCAGTCATCATTATCGCGCATGTGTTTCATGGTTTTCCCGCTTCTGTCACCCGGTCGGTAGGTCTGTAGGCGAATTATTGCCCCGCATTGGCAGATCCACGGCTATTGCGCTGCGCCAACTGCTCCGCCACCGTTGTGCGAGCGTACAGGGTCGCTAGCAACCACTTCCATGACAGACGACCAGATGCCCGAAGTTGCTCTCAGGCTCGGCGCAGTCATACCAGTACCCTTGGCCGTCTACATTTCGTATTGTTCACGAACAACAGCGAAGCCAGCATACTTCCTGACCGATCTCACCCTTTGTTATGTGGCAAAGCTCCTGCACACTGAACAGCGGGTGCGCCTCTACCTTGAAGATCCCACCTTTTCCATGGCCGTGAAATACTGGGCCCTCTCCCACACGCAAGAGCCCTGCGTTTAATCTCTTGACAAATTTGTATACAGGGTTTCTCAGCCAGCAGCCTGAAGAGAAGTGGCCTTGGGCTTCGTGGCACAACCAAAGACTTCTCAGTTTCGACACCCATGGTCTTTTCAACGGAGCCATGCGGGATCACGCCGGCCACGTCTGTTTCGCTGGGCCCGAAGCTGTGAGTTCTCTATCCCCGAAAGGGGAGTTTGTGACGCCTCTTCGTACGCAACAACTACCACGTCTCTTGGATTGTGCAACAGGCGGAGGTTACAGATGGGGCAGTGCGCGTGCAAGTCATTAGCAGAGGGCCGCCGCCAAAGCCCGAGCAGAAGCCAAGCATGAAGCAGGACGCCGGGGCCAGGAAATTCGTGCCGCTGAAGCTGACACTGAGCAAGAACTGGCCCAAAAGACTTCAGCGGCAGCGCCACCAATGTCAACGTGTCCTGGCTTCAACAAGTTGATGTGTTGCGCGACGGCCGAACACCTGCGCCACCTCGGCTTCGTCGGCCGCATGGTGCTCGTCTTCTGTCTGGACGTATCCGTCCCACCAACAGTCGCCGTGCAGGGGGCGGGGTGCTGCAAGACCTCTTGCAGCGTATCTGGTCTGCATTGTTTGATTCTTGCGGGCCAAAGTCCTCCGACCTGCCGCGTCCTGCCCATTTTGCTGCTGAAGCAGCGGAAGCTTTGTCTTGGAAAGCCAATCAAGACCTTGCGGGGCTGCGTGCCCAGCGCCGCCGCTTGAAATATGGCTTACGTGCCACGCTTGGGAAATGGGAGTACTGGGTCAGCAGCGTTGCCTTTCTGTGCAACGCCGTGGAAGCATTCCTCTTATCCTGCCAAGACTTCGTCTGCCTGAGCGCCAATGCCGTCAAATGTGCCATTCGTTTCCTGGACCAAAGCTACTGTTTGGAGCCATAGTGCTGCAGACCGAGATGACTTCGAATCCTGCCCGCTCCGTGGGCCTGGCAATGGCCACCTCAGATGAGGAGAAGCTTGGTTTGATTTTAGTACACGTTTTTCTTGATGTTTAATTTTTCATGCGCTGGGCGTATGGTTTTTCAATGCTTTTATAGTCTTTTTGGTCCCTCACCCCTATGGTCCCCACTCTCCACCTACTTACTAAGTTGCTCCGACTCTCCAAGTAGGTTCTGGGCTTAGGAGGTTTGCGTGGGGTTATGGTTTGTGAGTGTTGGGGGTCTGGAAGTTCAGGGGTTTAGGGTTTATGAGGTTCAGGGTTTATGAGGTTTCGGGTTTAGGGCGGGTCGAGGATATCTGGGGCTGTGGTCCGCCTTCTTTAAGTACACTGACGATCTTTTTGATGTTTGGCAGGTTTCAGTCCGAACATGTGGGCACGCTTGCATTTCTCAGCACGTAGCGCAGTCTTTGTTGTCTGGGCTTGGTGGGCGCAGTTGGTTGCTGCTTTATGTGGGATTTCAAGTTTTGCCAGCTCCTTTTTTCAGACGATGGTCAGCGATGACCGTTGTACTACTGGTACTACATGGCTGTCACGTACTCTGTAGTTTTACCCCAAACCCACACCCCAATTTTGGAGAAGAGCCAGACTCAACCCGAAACCCTGAACGGGGCACTGTCACTTCCGCTGTCATCATGTGTCGGAGGAGCGCTGATAACGATAATAATAGTAGTAACAGTAGCAGCAGTAATAAGAAGATTACAGATACTAGTAACAATAACATTATCTAATAGCAATAAAAAAACAAACTCAGGGAGGACGGACCCTGTAAGAAACCCATGGGTACCCTTATAACCCCATTGTAAGGGTCCTTCTTAGGGGGTCTGTCTTATTTGCGGGTCCTGTAGGAATGTCCCCAACCTACCCCCTGACATGTCAACCTGGGCTTCAGGTTTTGTGTGTGAAGCACCAGAAGACTCAGCTGTTTTATGTATGCAGCGTCTTTCGCAGGTACCTTGTGACCGACGTGCCCTAGCTGCCTTAGCTTATTCAACTTGAAACGATCTACTGCGTGGGTGTGCAGTAACCCGGAGGCTTTCAGCAAGACTGTACTTGAAAGCAGGTATTAAAGTGTTGTGGCAGTGGATAGGATAAGCGGGATCGTGTAAGTCGTGTGGCAGACTTTTGTTTAGGCTAAGGTTCTCTTCCATCTGTCTGTTCCAGATTATGTCATCGATGAAGACTCCGTTTATGAAGCGCAACAATCCCAAGAGATCCAGACACAACGTAAATTCCATGTAGCCCGCCCTCAGCGGGAATAACTGTTTTTCTACAGTTTTCTGTTGTCCATATGAGTTTTGGGGAAATCTACGTTGCAGATTTCCTCAATGTGGGATCAAGCTTCGATTGGGGTGCTCTTTGTGCAGTTCATCTTTGATCCCTTGCATGTCCTCAGCCAGGGGAACTCTGTAAAAAGGGATGCTGTGAAGATCGGCTTGTGAGATGGACCGCTCGTCCCCAAGCCCTGAAATAGGCTCGTCAACAGCAACCTCGAAGGCATTAGATTTAAATCTTTGAATATTTAGGCCCGCCATCCATTCTGTATGCAAAGTCACGAGGAAGGTGCTTTCCACTGACAACTCCCGACTTTGAAGCTTGAACCCTGACACACGCCCATCCATTAGAATTGCAATCACCACAGCGAGGTGCCGCAAGACCGAGTGCTGCGCATTCCGATCCACAAAAGCCTCCGGCGGGGGCCCAAATCCCAAGCCCTACTGCCCATTGTTGAATTTACGACTTGGCCTGTCACAACCACAGGCCGTCTTGAAGACTCCCTAGGAGTGTGGCCATACGTATGGACTCGGGTTTAGACAGGTTCAAGGCTGGTTCAATGCAGGTTCAATGGTTGATGAAGGTTTGGGGGGTCAGGGCCCGTGGCTACATGGGCCGGGGCAAATCTTCTGTGAACTGGTGGAGCCAATGTGGGCGTCTCGCAATATCGTCTTCAACCCTAAACCCTAAAAGATGGTCCCCAACCTGATCTGCAGACAAGCCTCCAGCCCTAAAGAAGTGACCTTTGGATACCAAGCAGATTGGCTCAGAACGTGTCCCGGAGCCGAAGCTCTGAACCTGAAGGCCGTGCCCGAAGCCGAAGTCCTGAACTGTAAGCTGGGTTGTTGTTAAGGAGCTTGAATTAAGGGTTTAGGGTTTTAAGGTACCATGGTAAGGAAAGCCCATTATGTACTGTATACTCTTGTTCTGGTGGTTTAATTTAAGTTCCTTACTTAACAGCAACCCACTAACCAACGATCGTGCTCGAAACCCAAAATCTCGGTATCCCCTTATCTTCAAGTCGAACTCCTGAAGACATGGGCAACAAACCCCACCCCCCATAGTGAACCTAAACGAGTATCGTCATGAAAATGTGGGGGTCTATTGATTATCGGGGGGTGAGCGGGGTTTTTAGGAGGTAGGCATTTGATCCAACCCCGCTGAAAACAAGGCCAAACTCCAAACCCTAAACCTTAAACCCTTCGTGGACAAGCCATGCAAAGTGGCGAAAACATTTCGTGGAAGGCACTTGATTCCGGTGGCCGACATGCGCCAAGCGCTCGTCCCCGTGCGTGGAGCTCTCATTGAGGACCGGTGGGGTTTAGGGTAACCCTAGACCCTAAATGGTAGTTTCCATTTTCATTCTCAGTATCCCAACATATCCCCAATATATCCCCAACATATCCCTTTCTATCCCCTATATACCCTCTATATCTCCCCGGGAAGGTCCCAGGTAATGTAGAAGCGAGAGAGCTCGGGGTCGAAGTTTTAGGAATAATGGAGAATCGAAAGGAAAAGAACATGGAAAATGAAATGGGCATCCTAGGTCCCTTTAAAGGGGTGTATCTCGGGATATTACCCCAATAATGGAGAATCAAATGAGCCATAGTCTAAACTCCTTAAAGGGGGGTTATATAGGGGATTATATAGGGAACTACTATAGGGCTTATGAGGGGGAACTAGGAGTGAAGACTATGGCTCAAATGGAAAAGAAAATGGCAAATGAAGTGGAAGCTGGGTTTGAATACCACTGTGATCCGTCAACACAGATGAGAAAGAATCAAGAAAATGAAATGGAAGCCGGGTAAGTGTTAAATGCAAATAGCATTGTGCGAGATTCCTTATATAACCCTAAACCCTAAACATCTCTAAGCCCTAAATCATAGATTTAGGGTTTGGGTTTTAGGGTTTAAGATGCCTCAACTAGACTTCGAAATCCTCTTCAGGCCTCATAGAGAGAAAGTAATTGGACTCTTCAATGATTGTATTGGCGTTAGCTGTTGAGAGGCTTCTTGACTCTAAGAGAAAGGAAGGTTTTTGATTGAAGGTGTGGCTGCTTTTTGTCTGCCATTCGTTTTGTACATTTTGTGCAGTTGCTGTCCTGTTCACAGTTCCTGCTGATGTTGTGCTTGGATATTTTAAGGTCTTATAGCTGACTTTGCTGATAGTTTCACTGTCATTAGAGATTTGGCCCTAAATAAACCCTAAACCCTAAACCCAACAACCGCAAACGCTAAGCTGAACAACCCTTAGTCTTGAAGGTCGGTTGCAAGTCCCCTCTTTATAGAATCGCACGCTTTAAGCCTGAAAAAGATTTTTGCATGATTTGAGGTTTAGGGCTTACATTTTAGGATTCAGGCTTTAGGGTTGAGAGTTCGGGCGGGGGTATAATGTTGAAACCTCCAGATGCCTGTGGATCTATGGCAGCATATGCGGATTTCCCTAAGCTGGGGTCTCCTTCTGTTGGCCCAGAATAACCATTGGTTTATTTTGGGGCTGCTGAAAAAGAAAATGGAAACTACTCTTTGGGTTCAGGGTTTAGGGCTCAGGGTTTAGACTAGGTACCCCAGTAGTACCCTTTTCCCCTTTTGATTGTGGGGTCTCCTGATTAAAGCTTAATATTAGGAAAAAGGGTACCCGTATGATTAAGGGGTTCCTGGGGAACCTAGATAATAACCGTAATGATTGAATCCCGATCTAGAAGCCTAACCCAATGCAAACCAAAAATATTCTGCTCAAACCCTTTGTCTAATTAAAGTTAAAGTCTGATGTACGCCCAAATCGTATCCCAATCCTTCGTTTAAGCCCCTATAGTAGTGTGTTGATCCAGCCTGCCTTTTATCTTGAACTCCTGCTTGGCCTGGCGGTGCCATGCAAGTGATGAAAAATCTAAAGCTCAGATGCCGACTCGAAAGCCAAGGTAGACCAACGAATGGTGAGTTCTTACCCCCCCAAAGCCCAGAGCCCGTCAACCCTAATGTAGCATCCGGAATAAAATCCCACACTGCAATTCCTAGAAGCCCAACACGAAGTAGCTTAATTGTTCGTTTCCATGTGATCCTCCATGATTGGAGAATATTTAGGCCCTAAACCCCCTAAGAACTAAAAGCCCTAAACTCCCTAAGCCCTAAAAGCCCTCAACCCCCTCAGCCCTAAACCCTCAGCCCCCTGAGCCCTAAATCCTAAAGCCCCTAAGTCCTAAACCCTGAACCCTAAACTCCTTAAGCCCTGAACCCTTCTATACTTCTTGGAGGGTCAGGGGGACTTAGTAAGTAGGTTAATAACCCCTGTAACCCATATAGGAACCCTAATTATCCCCATTATTGACCCACTTACTAAGTCCCCCTGACCCTCCAAGTTGGCTTTCACGAATACTGTGAGGATGGTTCTCTGCGACGTCCGATGCTCGTGGACTCTGCCGTCGCGCGAGAAGGATGGCCAGTACCGCGTGGTTTCCCAACGAAAGCTTTAGGGTTTAGGGTTTAGGCTTTAGGGCTCTGGGTTTAGGGTTTGGGGGCTAGGGTTTAGGGTTTAGGGTTTGGGGGCTTTAGGTCTCTAGCGTTACAGAAGGGTTACTATAGAGGATGATAAAGGGCTATAATATAGGTGTTGCATGGGGATTATGTGGGGATTCCAAACATGGGGGGCCGCAATATAATCCCAATGAAAAAGATGTATGTATAAATAGACTGAGATAACAGATAGGGGGTACTGGGTACATGGGCAGGAAGGGATGAGGGGCCCACAGCGGATGGTGGTCTTAATCTTAGATGGTTGAAATTCCAACCTGGTATTGTTGCTACCCTCCTGTTCGCGGATCATCCACAGCGAATCCCCAAAGCCGTGGCATGTCTTCGTTCTGTAGGTGTCTGGTTCTGGTAGCGCCTCTTCTGTCCTGGGTTCTTGAGCATTTTCCACGCATGGCAAATACGGAGAACGATGGCCAATTCAGATTCGCATTGAGAGGGCTTTAGGGAAGTGATCAGGTCCGCCTATAGAGTCTTTGCAGTTCAAGCTTCCGTCTCGGAACTTTGTTGTTGAAGGGGTCTCGGTTGAGATTAATTATGGCTGAGGAGTTGCGGTTGTTAGGATTTCAGGGTTTCTTTAGGGCGACAGCTATAGGTATTTCTCAATATTATCCCTATACAGTCCCTAATACGGACCCCCATAATCCCCATCTATTCCCTATATATCCCCTGGGGTCCCTAGCGTACCCCCTTTTTGAGAAACTCCCCTATAGTCAATTGTACTCGAGTTGCTGAGTGCTTGCAGCATCCTAAGCCGGGAGCCCGCTGAGCCTGAAAGGGTTTGGGGTTTAGGGTCCCCTGAAGTCCAGCTTTCCTAAAACCCAAACCCAATTTGGTAGTTTCCCAAAATCGAGGATCCCAATATACACCCCAATATGCTACGGTCCTTGTTATTGGGATTCCCAAATGGTACCCCTAATTTTAGAAACCCCCCAAACCCTAAACCCTAAATAGTAGCCCCCATTTTTTCCAGTATCTCTGTATATCCCCCAAATAACCCCCATTATCCCTAAACCCTAAACCTTAAACCCTAAACCCGAAACCCTAATTTTGGGAAACCCATATGAGCAATTGCCTAAACTCCTAGTATCCCCCTTTATAACCCCTATAGTAGTCCCCTATATAATCCCCTATAAAACCCCCTTTAAGGAGTTTAGACTATGGCTCATATATAGTTTCCTTTCTGTATCACAACACGGAGAGAAGCCTAGCCTCCCTGCGAGGAGAACTTGCTGGCATGATCGAAGCTGGCAAAAAGTGAGAAGACAACATGCGATTAACACGGTTTAGGGTTTAGGGTTTAGGGTCCTACTATTACACCATTATTCCATGTTATTGTCGCATTGTACTATCATGACATGATTACAGCATACATCTTGTATTGCAGTGCGTTTGCGGGTTCCGAAGCGTGTGTACTCACAACAAATACATCTGGTATGTTGCAAGGAGCATGCGACAGACCAGCACGAATCGCTTCTTGCCCTTGTGCTCTGAAGGCGTGTTGAGTTCTTGTAAGGACAAATACCAAAATCCGCAAGAAGCAGTTTGGACAAGTACCAAAATCCTGCAAGAAGCAGTGATGGCAGCAGAAGTGGTAGTGGCATTTGGTGGCAGTGGCGACTATCTAGCAACGTCCTTAGGGCCCCATTAAAGACCACCATATTTACAGACACTAGGAGCATGGTTTCTTCCAGTTCACTTATACCTGCTTCGTTGTTTTTCATGTCTCCCCCTTTTCTGCAGCCAACCGGCAGATGCTTGTCATATCTGCGCGAACATTGCCTAACTTGGGCAGCCACTAGGTGGCCCTCAGCAAAATCTTCTAGAATCACGGTAGAAGATGCCTTCGCACATCCTGTGGGGAGTTTGTTCCCGAGTACCTCGTTCAGCACGAAGGCTCAAAACCTTAAGGTTCTAGGGTTAACCCCTGGACTCTAAGCTTTTACTGGTCAAGCCATCGTTGGTACCTAAGATGGGTATGATGGATGAAACAACTTTACGTGCTTTCATAATTGGAGGGTGAGGGGGACTTTATTAAGTAGTTTAATAACCCCTCTAACTCATATAGTAACCCTAAGTTAGTACTTATCCCCATTATTAGAGTTTCCCGCAATGCGTCGTGGCCTCAATTAAAAGCCTCAGGGAGTCCTAGAGGATCGGATGTGGGGCTCTTCACCAGGTTTGAGGCTTAGGGCTTAGGGGTCTAGGATTTGGGGTTTACGGCTTAGGGTCTAGGATTTAGGGTTTAAGGATGAGCTTTTGCCTTGTCCGCAGCTTCTGAGCACCGGCTCAAGAAGTCTCGGCCCCAAGAGAGCCGGGATCCGGTCCAATGTCAGCAGCGAGCTCGGAACCTCTCTTTGATGAGTTTGCTTCAGGGTTTAGGGTTTAGGTTTAGGCTCATTTGACTCTTCAACTCTTCGAGGAGGGTCTTCCTCTGGGTTGGGCAGCACGATAAGGGGTTCTATACCGATAATGCAAAAGAAATTTGAGACTACAATGGTATATTGGGTTATATAGGGATAATGGTAAGAGAGTGGAAGCTACTATAGTATATTGGGGTACATAGGAATGATGGAAAATAAAATGGAAAGTAGTATAGCATACTGGGGTTACATACGGATAATTGGAAAATTAAAAATGGAAATTTCTGTTTGGCTACATGATAAATACTATGCCTTCCTGAGTCCTTAGAATGTTAACTCGCTCCATGTCAAGGTCCTTAGAAAAAGTACACCCTAAACCATAAACCCTAAACAGTAGTTTCCATGTTCTTTTCTATTGT